TTTGATGATTGTGTCGTGTCTGTTGAACAAACTCCAATGGTTGGACCGACGAAACGGAAATTCGGAGCAAGTAGTCAGGGGTAGCGATTGCATTTTGTATTTTGTTTGTTGGTCGGTTCATTACCCGATTAAGAATTTTGTTTAAATCAAATGCTTTTGGCCATTTCAATTCCATGTCCATTTTTATGCTGATATGGTGCCCATGTTGCAAAAATGATAACATATTTTTCATAAAAAACTACGGGTTTTATTCCGATCATGGCTTTTTTACAAAAGAAGGAGTACAAGTTTTAAAGCAATAAAACCTTCCTTGAATGCTATTGCTTTATTCATTGCTTATATTTGGTTTAGTATATTTCTAACTGGGTTGTGGCTCACCCTACATGGGAACATCATTTTCAGGTTCAGGTGATAAGCTACCTCCAAGGACTTAGCTTGGAAGGGACTTGGATTTTGAAGACTATTTTCAGTTGTTTGTTTTTATTTGTTAGTACATGTAAACACTCAAGCCTAGGGCTTTATTTGGATTTGAGTTAGAACTCATACTTTGTTGTCCAAGTGTTGGCTTGGAAAGATGTAAGCCTGTAGGGCATTTAATTTGAGGTTACATGTAATGCTTTTATTTAGTAAGACTCTGATGAATATTATAATGAAATGTTTCCTCTCTAACATTGCATGCTGATGATACATATAATTAATGGGTTTATTTTTGAGGGCGTTACAGTAAAACATTCAAAAAGTATAATTGACGCAATTATAATTACAAAATTAAAATTCACATCGGATGAACATTACTGGAACTATTGGTGTAGATTATGCCAACTGTTAAAGTACAAAATTAAAATTAATTATTGAGACTTTTAAAGAAATATGTTGCCAACTTGTAATGTTTAATTGTCAAATATATAAGTTGTAAAAGGTTGCATCAAACAGAGATGGCATAATGGTCCACTGTGAGTTGCTTGAGATTAAAAAAAAAATGTTTAGGTTTTCCTGCAATTATGTTTGACACATGTCCCTTGCGGACAGTTTCATGTTAGCTTTAAAATGATGATTATATATTCCATGGGAACCTAATTTACAATAAATTATTCAATACTCTTTGTGATGCTCCAATACTTGTTCAGTTAATCCTATGAATCAGGTACTTATCAGTTTGTGAGATATGAGCTACTTAAACATGATTGCCATATTCTGAGCTACAAGTTAATGATATTTTGGTGTTAAAACTCCATATTACCCAGTTTTTTGTTACTAAGTATAGATCCATCTATACCTCTCAGTAACCATATTGTTGTTAATTTTATTCACACAATTAAAAGCTTGCGTTAGGTTCAGCCACACAATTATCAAAAATTGGGTTATACTTGGTAAAGTTTTATTTTTTGTAGTACAAAAAATGGTATGTTTATTGTGTAGTAAAAGTTGTGAATTTTTTTAATGTTATGAGTTGTGTAGTGTATGCACCCTTCTAAGAGTACACATAATAGTATTTCCTCAAATGAATTTTTGTATATTACAAGAATAGCATTTGAATAGCACTACAAAAATCATGTGAAAATATCATTTTTTAAAGTAAAATTATATTTATAAGTGTTTTGTTGATACAATTTGTTCCAGTGAATGAATCGGACTGGTCCAAGTTCCTCAAGCCCACGTCTAAATGATCAAGCCCATCGGATAACCTGCAAACAAGTTCAACGGGAAACTGGGTAGTCCCCTAGTGAACCCTCCGATGAGCAAGTTAGGGAGAGAAGTAGAGTGTAGAGAGAGAGATTAGAGATAGAAAAGCTTAACATTCTTCTTGTCTTCAACATTTGCTTATATCCTTTGGTAATCATTTCGTTGTCCCTTCTGACCTGTCACCTTAGCCAAAAGTCTATGCTGTAGCTTATCTTGTTCAGGGTGAGGGTGTGCTGTCTCGACGGAGAGGTGTTGTCGTAATAAATGCAGTGAGGGGCTGCATTAATGGCGATGTGCAGTGGCAATAACTTTGCAGATCTTTGTCTGCTGATGTGGCTTGCCCTTTACCTGCCATGTGTTTGAATATCATTGGTCCTTCATGCCATGTTGACTTCCAGATGGTGTTGGGCCTTATCAGTTGGGTTATGTATTGGGCCCTAAGGGTGGGCTTGAGTTGTTCATGGTGGGCTGTAGCCTTTATGGGCCTACCCATGTCAACATTTGTTCTGTTAATGTTATAATGTTTCATTTCATAAATAAATTATCACATTTTACAATATTGTTCTTAAAAATTCTAACATAAAAATGATGGCTCTTATAAATTAAATCAATAACTATTAGAAAAATGTTTGATAGTTTAAATTTGTGTGGCCCGAATGGCTCAAATGTATCAAAACGATGTCATTTCACTCTCAAAACAATTTCGTTTTGAGATATTCGAGCCATTCGGGCCATAAAAATTCAGATTACCAACTATTGTTGTCACTATTAATTTAGAGTGCCACCTTAATTTGTTCAAGGAACACTGAATAATTTCTTGTGCTAATAGTCCTATCTAGCTTTTTGGTTTTACTAACCTCAATATTTATGTTTTGTATCAATATTAGCGTGACGGAAAATGATATACAAATACACTTTTTAATCTGATGATGTATAAAAAATAATTGACTAATAATTAGAGAATATATGAGAAAAAGTTGCTGAGAGAATTGCCTTAGATATTATAGACCGTCGCATCGCTCTGTTTGGTTATTCAGTTTTCAAAATCAAATTTTGAGTTTTTAATTTATATTTTTTATTTTTCATCAATTTTTTTATAAAATTTTTGTCAATTTTTTATTTTTATTTTTAAAAAGATGCATCTAATTTAAATATACTCAACAAGTAAAATATTTGTGAAGAAATCTTTAAAAAAATTAATAAATATAAAAAATATATATAAATGTACTGAATTTTCTTTTCTCCGTAATCATATATAAAATTCTAATGGGTAGACTTATTTATAGGTTTTATTATAATTAATGACATTTTTTATCAAATATTAGTAAAAAAAATTTACTAATTGTTAATTTTCAGAGACAGTTTGAAAATTTTATCACAAAAATGTTACTAATTATAAATTTTAGCAACAGTTTAAAAAATTTGTCATAGAAAAATATTACTAATTGTAAGTTTTAGTAACAATTTATAAAAATTGTCATAAAAGTCACTAATTGTTAATTTTAGTGACATATGCAAAAAATTATCACAATTTTTTTTTTTTTTTTGGGTAACAATTTTAATAGGACTTATTTTTAATAGGATTTAATAATAATTAAGTTTAACTATTGATAATTTACCCTAATGTTTAACTTAGCTTCCGTTTGGAAAGTGGGTTGAGTTTTTGACTTTTTTAGCTATTTTAGTCTGTGTTAAAAAGCTTGATTTGGAAAGGACTTTTTAACTTTTTTTTATGAGAAAGAGTATAATAATTATAAATTAAATATAATATTTTATTTATTATAACTAAAATAACTTATTTGATCTTTTATGATTAAAGTAGCCGCAAACCAAAAATGTTATGAATGTTTCTTAGAAGTCAATTACACCATCCGATCCTCCTATAATTATGTGGGAAAAGGGTCCTACTGCACAGCAGGGAGTGCCGTGTCCCAAGAGGGCATTTTTTTGCGTTATTCTTTATTATTTTAATTTTTTTTAATATGTTATGTGTGCAGTTATGAGTTTTTTTTATTTTATCTATTTAAATTTAAATATTTTGATTTTTTTTAATTTAAGTTATTGACCTATTTTCATTAAGTAAATTTAAGCAAAAATATTTTGAATATTTTACGTATATCTACATTGAATTTAATAACTAAAATATTTTTTTTGGTTAATTTTATCTAACAAAAATGAGCGAATGATTGAGATTGAAAATAGATCAAAATAGTAGAGTTTAAATTGATAAAATTAAAAATTAATGATTTATTTTGTTGCAAGGGTCAAACTATAATTTTTTTTTTCAAATAATAATAATAATAACATCAATATTGTTCTCATTTAGGCAAATCAATAAAAAAAATATAAAACACTTAAATATTATTGTTAAATTTACTTGCAACTATCTGTATTATTACATATTATTTATTGATTTGTTGAAAAATCAACCAATTAATTTGAGTCTCCCCAATTAACTTCAAAATCTTGAGATTATTTGAGATGAGCACAAGTTGACCCATATACTAAATATATAGTAGATAACCTATATTTCTCTATGAATAATAGAATATAAGTAATTATACTCTAATAAATATATATGTCAAAAGAAATATAACTAGTTTGATTTAAAAAACAAAAAACAAAAATATAATAATCAATAAATATACATTAAATTTCAACTCATATGAATTTTTAAAAATAAAATAAAAAATATGTCAGTACATATTTCTCATTACTACAATAAATGCCTTTGAAAATTTGTAAGGCTTTATTTTATTTTGTTTCAAACCAACAACTTTCTCTCTTAAAATAAAAATAAATAAATAAATAAATAAAAATCAAAACTGTGTCGTTTTGTATACACAGCACACCTTGCTATGCTTAGAACACAGTAGGCACCGCTTATCCTAATTATATATATTCTTGTTCATAAAGTTATAAATATATATATATATATATATTTTTACTTTAAGTGAATATATTCAACGTTACTTTATGATGATGTCGATATGAGGTCATCTTGCAGCGTACAAAATATCAAAGGGTAATGATACATTCCACTAAAAGTGGTGTTCTAAAGCACCACTAATGAGTTGGCAAGCACTTTCACTAAAAAAAAAATAAAAATACAAGATACAAGCAGTGGGTCCCGTTCACTGCCACATCACTAGTGGTACTTTTAGAGCACCACTTTTAGTGGTCTCAAGCATTATTGAATATCAAATTAGGACACACAAGGTTGGATTGAAGATACAAAATAGTGAGTTAGTTAATTAAAAAAAAAAATGTATTGGCTCATGTAAAATTGTAAATTTTATAATTTTAATCGAGTCGATATGTTTTATTTATTTATTTAATTTTTTTTTTTTTTTAACAGAAAGGATTACATAGCAAAAACACTGAGGATGGGCAAATACTTCATTTAAAAGAACAGACGCTAATCCTAGTGGCACACAAGTTACCCAACTTGCAGGTAGTGTTGATCTAGATTGAGCAACACCCACCTAATGAGCAGCACTGTTGTTGGACCTTCGTGTCCACAAGAACTTTCAAGATCTGTCCTTTGCAAAGCTGCGAACATCAACCACAACTGCCATGATCTCCCATGGAGGGACTGTTTCAGGCACACATAATTTTATGAGCTCTTGATTATCATTCTCAAATTCAGCAGTAGAAAGCCTATTCAGCTGAGCTAAACAGCAAGCCAGACGCACCGCATACGCTTCAGCTTGCAAAGCTGTTGCCGAGAAGAAGGAGGTGACAACCCCATCAATAAAATGGCCCTCTGAATCGCTAAGGATAGCTGCCGCAGAAGCTTTTGTAGATGACCAATTGAAAGATGCATCACGGTTAACTTTAAAAGTCCCCACCCGAGGAGGTGTCCATCCAAACTCTTTTCCGTTTGCCCTTGAGCTATCAGCAATGGCCATTGTGTTCTCGTCCCCAACCTGTATAAGATATTCATTCCACCGATAGTGTATTTTTTGGAGTGTGTCAGATGGATTGACAAGTATCGAGTTGAAAGTGAAATAATTTCTTACCTTCCATATATACCAGCCAATCAAAGCAATTTTGCTGAGGATTTCCTTTCCAGCTTCTTTAAACACCCTATCAGCCCCCCATTGAGCTGTCCATTGCGCCACATTCGTAATAGCTCCAGGTTCCATCCAAAAATTCAACATGCTCCCAAACCAGACTGCCTGTGTCCATTCACAGTCAAAAAGCATATGCTCCACTGTTTCCACTTCTTTATGGCATACTGGACGTAAATTGGATGATGCACATCTACGTTTAGCCAAATTCGCCTTTGTTGCTTGCCAATACATCCCTGTATGCTCTCCACTAAAGATGGCAAATTTTTTGGGGGATTTTCAGGTTCCAAATTTGTCTCCAAAAACACCGAGGAACATAGTAGGAGGATGAGGGTTGTATTGAGAGATGATTTTCCGAAAGCTTGCTAGCTAAATGGTACCCAGACTTAACAAAGTATGTCCCCGACTTGTTTAGGGGCCATACTAGAGTATCTTCCCTATCTTCAAAAGGCAATGGTATAGACCGAATTGCCTTCAACTCCTCAATTGTGACAATATTGCTCAGATCAATTACTTTCCATTAATTATTCACAGGGTCTATAACATCCAAAACATACAAAATACCATTCACTGGGGACTGATTGGATGAGACCTTAAAATCAGTGACTAATGGTATCCATTTATCCTCCTAGAAATGAACTGATTTCCCATTGTGAATCTACCATGGCCATCAATAACCTTTAAATAATAAATCCTTGTCCTTCAACAAGTTGGACCATGCCCATGAAGCTGTGGCCCCTCTAGCTGCATGTAAGAAATCTGACTGTGGATAATATATCCCTTTAAACATCCTAGCCCAGTAAGAGTTCGGGGATTTGATTAGTCACCAGCCTTGTCTAGCAAGTAGAGCTTGATTAAAATGTGAAAAATTTCGAAATCCCATGTTGCCTTCATTTTTTGACATGCATATGGAGGCCCACTTTTCCCAACGGATACCTCTCTCTCCCGGATCTCCCTTCCACCAGTAATTACGTATAAAAGCGTCCATTTTTTGACAAAAGCTGTGGGGGAAGAAAAAACACGCAATTGCATAGGAGGGTATAGCTTGCACAGTTGTTTTAATAAGCATCTCTCTCCCAACATGAGAGAGCTGATTATTTTTCCACCCTTGCATTTTAGCAGCCATTTTTTCAAGCAAAAAACCATAGGCCACTGCCTTAGATCGCCCCCATACAGAAGGTAAACCTAGAAATTTAACATTCTGTCTCGCTTGATTGATACCCATGGTTCTGCATATCCTCTCCCTAACTTCTTCATCAGCATTGGCAGAAAAAATCATCTCAGATTTATCAAAATTTAGAAGTTGACCAGAGGCTCTACTCTAAACATTAAGAATCTAGAGCATGTTTTGACACTCAAGGTTACTAACTCGGAAGAACAGAATAATATCATCGGCAAAAAACAAATGGGAAAGAATCGGATAGTACCTACTCATTTTGAGTCCCGAGATGGTCTCTGAATGAATGCCACAGTTAATCAATTTTGACAACACATCCGCCACTATCAGAAAAAGGTAGGGGGATAGGGGATCCCCTTGCCAAATCCCACAAGTTGGAGCGAAAGCAGCACGCTTTTCGCCGTTAACCATAATTAAGAAGCTGACGGTTGAAACACACTCCACGACCCACCGAACCCATTATGCACTGAAACCCAATTTTTTGAGTACGACTTCGAGAAAATACTATTGAATCCGATCATAGGCCTTACTAAAGTCCAGCTTCAAAGCCAAATCTACCCATTTACCCTTCTTTTTATGTCTTAAGAAATGGAAAGCTTCATGCACCACAAGAATGTTGTCTTGGATAAATTGCCCTAGAATAAAGGCTGATTAAGTGGGTGTAATTAGCTGGTGGAGCAATTTCTTCAGCCTATTCGCCAAAATTTTTGTTATAATTTTCATCTTGAAATTGCATACGTTGATAGGTCTAAAATGGTGCAGAGGCTCTGGGGCTGCCATCTTCGGTATAAGGACAAGGTTCTGGTATAAGAACAAGATTCGTATGGTTCCAATCTCTCAAAACAGGCCCTCCATCAAAAAAGTTGTGAATTAATGTTTTTGATAAAACATACTTGGGTAGCCATCTAGTCCCGGAGCTTTAAGTGAGCCCAATTGAAAGGTTGCCGCTTTGATTTCATCATCGATGATAGGTTTAGTAAGATCAGAATTCATTGCTTCAGATACCTCACACTCCATAATCGCTAAAGCTTCGGTCAAATCTCTAGTCTCCATGACTCGAAATTGATTTTGAAAATAAGATAGGTGTTGATCATTAATAGCTTCTTTCGTCTCACATCATTCCTCCAAATCAGTTTTTAACTTGACCAATTGGTTTCGTTGCCTCCTTTGGATAACCGTAACATGAAAGAAAGTTGTGTTTTGTCTCCATACTGCTACCAATTGATTCTAGATCTCTGATGTTAAAACATTTCCTCGCGGGTCAACACTTTTTCTAACTTCCTTTGAAGCCTCTAAATCTAGATGTGAGTACTATCAGAAAAAGGTTGGGCTTGCAGTTCTCGAATCGAATTTTTTAAATCAGAAATTCGGAGTCGGTTATCTATAAATTTTGCCTTGCTCCACCGAGATAAACCTTTACTACATCTATTGAGCTTTTGGGAAAAACTATACATGGTGGAAACAGCTAGATCCTCACCCCAATTTGATTGGATAACCTCTGAGCATTCGAGGCTAGTAGTTCACATAGATTCAAATTTGAACGAGCGAGGTATATTCTTTGGTGAGATATGACAATGTAGCAGAAAAAAGCAATGATCAGACCCTATTAATGCCTCATAGTGGACTTGTGCATAAGGGAATTTTTGTCGCCAACTCACTGTTGCAAATGCTTTATCTAATCTCTCTCTCTCTCACAATATGAATACCTTGCTGGTTGTTTCTCCAAGTGTATGGTGCCCCTTTAAATTCTAGATCCATAAGCTCACAATGCGAAAGAAAATCATGAAAACTTTGCATCCAAGCTCTGTTGCAGCGCCCTAAACCGTACTTCTCCCATGACCAACCAACTTCATTTAAACCCCCTAGACACACCCAAGGATAGCCATTTCCTGCAGTCAAAGTTTTTAGATATTGCCAAAAAACTCTCCTTTTAGCCTAACAAGAGGGAGCATACACAAAGGTTGCAAGCTAACTAGAAGATGCCATTCCCATATTAATGAAACATTTGAAAATATTAGCTGATTTGTAACTAACATGCAAGTCCACTTCATCTTTCCACCAAAGTGCTAAACCACTTGACAGACCAACAGGATCTGTATTACTTTTATTTAGAAATTGGAGCCTCCTTCTCGTTCATTCTAGCACAGTTCACTTGTTTTTGGTTTCCATTAGGAAAATTATTGAGGAACGATGGGTTATGCATAACTCTCATAAGATCTGGAATGCCAGAGGTTGCCCCATCCCCTGAGAATTCTAGCTGAGCATCAACATGGCCTTTGTGGCACTTTAGGGCTCGCCACTATAGTCCATATACTTTCAGATAACTCCTTAGCAGGACATGTAATCAACACTGGCGATAGATTCTCACAAGATAGAATACAGCTGGTATCAACACTCACCAGATATGTTACCGCAGCAGCTGGAACTTCCTCTGCCTCAGTAATTTGCACGTCGGTCAGGCCTTGGGTTATTCAAGTACTTTTCCTTACTCGAGGACTTCCTCTTTTCACTCGCCTTGCTTTTTCCCGATCCAGTGGCACCTTGGGGAGCTCAATACTAGGCATAGGCAGTAAATTTTGGAACAACCTCTAGGTAGGATGAGCTTGACCTTCCTTTCTCAAACATTTCGCTTGTTGTAAATTTGTGCTATCAGCGTCAACCCCCTTCTTCTTTAGAGATAACTAGGTTAGGGCCTTTGAGAGTAGCCCATCTAAGAGATATGGTTGTTTGGTAGATAAAGAAGAGGGGATTAAGCTTTTCAGGGCTAGCTGTTGTAGCTCCTTTGTATTGGCTTCATTGCCCCCAAATTGGGCTTGATCACTAATTGGGCTATCTGGAGGCTTAGTCACATAATAGCTAGGTTTAACCAGTGGGTCTAAAGGGCCCTTACCCATTTGGGCCTGTGTGTGCTCTAGCTATTTTCGGATGCACATGAATATCCTTGTGTCCTAATTTTGCCATAGGTTTCTGGAGCACTATGTGGACAAGAGATGGATTAGAGTGAGCTCTACCTAGCACCTCCCCACTAGTGGATCGTTGGAAGGACAAAGGAGGATTGCACAAGTTAGTATGGGATAGTGGAATTGGCAATTTTAGCCCTTGGGGAATTTGATGCTCAATGTCATGATGATCACGCGTTATCGGAGACGCTGATGGAGGTTGACTGAGGTTCTTTAATCCGGTAGTTACTCGTTTTTCCAGTTCATTAACTTGCCGACGATAGTGTTCAATGGGAAGGCCAGTAGGGGGAGCTGTGCCCATTCTCAAGGTGGGTCCATATCCAGAAGATGCTCCTTGTTCCTTTAAGACAAATTTACAAGCATTGCTTTCGTGTCCCAATCTTCCACAATCATAACAATAATCAGAAAGTTTTTCATACTTAAAAGCAAGCTAAGATTCACTTTCCTCAGTAGACCGCTAAAGCTAGAGGCCTATAGGCAAAGGCTGTTGAGTATCAATCTCAACCCAAATTCGTAAGAAGTTTCGATAGAGTAACAACCCTTCCGTATGTGCTTCAAGTCGAACTAGTCTTTCAATCCGATTGCCCAGGGTCTCGCCATTTTGTATAGTATGATTGTTTAGGGGTAGACCTTGAACTTTGACCTTGAAAGGGCATTAACAAAACTCCATTTTTTCCACCATATGGCCTGTTTACAGTGGTTGAAGAGCTAATAACTTTCCCATAACCAACCATGGGCTATCTCTAAGAACCCTATTCTAATCATCACAATCACTAAATTGGAATAGATAAACATTATCATTCCACGGAGAAATAGAGAGTTCACTCCTGATTCTCCATGCCCCTCTAATGATATTAGACATCGTTGTGTGATTTAGGATTTTGAAGCCTAAGATTTTTCCAATCAAACACAGATTAAAAGTGTCATCGTTCTCTTCACTCCCTTCTTCCAGAGAAATATGCTCATGTTGTAGTGGTTATTTGAAGTCGAAGCCATAGTAATCCGCAAAAACAGTAAGACTAACAGGGGTTAGTGAAAGATGAGAGGAAAGAAACTGGTAGGAGTGAGGACGAAAGCTGAAACTGAGTTTGGAAGTAAAGATAATACCAGAAGCTAGTTGAGAAATGAACGTAAGGTAGAAGGATAATGAGAATAGGACAAAATAGAATGGGCATATGAGGAAAAAGTTAGGAAAAAAAGAAAAGAAAAAAAACAAAGATGAAATCTGGAAAGATCCAAAAAAAAGCCCTAAGGCAGACCTCTCCTATTCACAATGTATAAATAAAATCAAACATAAATATTGAGAATTTCACTCCATTACATAATTGTCATAGAGAAGTTATTTGGTGATCCATAATGGTTACATGATGCCTCAAATTAAATGATATTGGTAGAAAGTAGGGTTGTTCAGTGGATATTTCGATCCACTCAAATTGATCGAACCGAACCAATCCGCCACATTTTGGACAGATGCGTGATAACGAGCGGACGGTTGCA